TTGAAGATAAAATACAGCATTGGAAAGTGAATTGGGTTTTAGTCTCATGAATCTCCAACTACATTCTAACTTTTTCCCCCCACGGTGATGTTAATGAGCAAAAAACACAATCTGTTCGTTTGTTTGTTTGTTTGTTTGTTTGTGGAAACTCAGGGCAAGATTGTAGAACAGCCCATTGTAAGATCACTCTTTGCCTTGCAAACTGATCCGATTTGATCTGAATATCACTGAGAGGGACTAAATAAAAACCCTACCAATCTCCTTTCTAAAGTTATCATACTTAAATCCCCACATTGAAACAGGTTAAGTCCTGGGATTTGAGTTCAGTTCTAATATATATTCTTTGTGAGTGACTTTTCATCTGATGATGATGTTGCCATTTGTGTGTTGGCACTTTTATTTCAGGAGGAAATAATAACATTGTCAGCGTTCTCTTTATGTGCCTACTGCTATGATGATAAACGGTAACTCAGCAGCTCTGATTTACATGGTATTGCAACAGCAGCAATACAGGTATAATTATGCCGAAAAAGGTACAGCAAGCCAACCGGTTTGTATTAGGCTGCTCTAAGTTATGAGGAGTATATGTTGTGAAAGGAGTGAATATATGACTACCAGTCTTTCGTCAGAAGGTAACAGAACTGAGAGAAATTTCTAGTGATCCCCTTGCAAATCCAGACCCAGGGAATGCTGCAAGGGGCAGAGGTAGGACCATAGCACACAGGTCTGTGAAGATTCTGGGTAGTGCCGTGGACCTAAGTTCCTGCTAAGCTGTGCGGCTGCATGACTACCTAATGAGCAGGGCTGCTGCGCATGGAGCTGCAGCAGCTGAAGGAGAGGCACCCCTCCCCTGGCCGGGCAGCTCCCTGCTGGGGCTGGAGGAGCACACCTCTCTCTCAGCCGCAGCAGCCCCCTGCGTAGGCAAGGGGAGAGGCATGTTCTTCTGGCCACAGAGGGGAGCTGCCCGATCCCCTTCCCACAGCGCAGTCCTGCCTCACCAGAGCTCCCATATCTGTGGAGAGGCGCCTCACACCTGGTCTACAGCTGCTGCAGTGAGGGAGGACAAGGGGGAGCCTGTACCCAAAACTCCTCAGTCCCAGCTCCATCCCAGATCCTGCACCCCTAGCAACAGCCTTCACCCTTGCACCCCAACACTCTGCCCCAGCCCTGACCCCGTTCCCACACCCCTTCCCCCCCAGCCAGAGCTCTCATCTCCCCTCAATCCTGAGCCCCCTCCCCTTGGCCTCACCTCTACCACAGTTTGTCCAAGTGCAGAATGAATTTTGTTATATGCACCAGTATGGAGGAGATGTGTCACACATATTGGTGCACAAAATTCATTTTGCACATGGACATAAAAAAATTAGAGGAAACACTGCCATGTACCCATAGGTTATCTTAGTTATGCTGGGGGCTGTAGAGCATTCCAGCATCAGTAAAATGCAGTTGACTTAACGCCACCTTGCTGTCTGAGTTCTGTGCTGGAACTTTTAGAGCAGGGCTGGGCGATAATTTTTAAAGGGGGTCACTTCATGGATTTCAGACGTGCACACGGGACACCCCAGAAGAGGCGGGACCTCTGGTGGAAGAGGCAGCATCAGGAGACTTTGTGCACTTCCCCATCCCAGGTCCTGTGGTATCCCGAAATAGCTCTGCAGTATAGACGTGGCCACTCTAAGCTGGGAGGATGAGGTGGGAGGGGTCATTTCACATGCTGCCTGTCCAGCAAACAGGCAGCTGCTATTGACCGGAAACTAGCCAATGGGAGCTACTGGGGGGAGGAGGGGAAGGTGGGAGCAATGTGAGAACCCTCTGCCGCCTCCTCCAGGCTCATGGCCCTGCAGCAGCTGGTTTCGCCAAGTGGAGGCAAGGCAGGCAGGTAGCCAGCTGAGGATCTCACGGGACAAATCTGGTGGCTTGGCAGGCCAGATCCAACCTACAGATCATGTTTGCCCAGCCCTGTCTTAGAGGCATAATCAGAATCTCGTCCAAAGGGGTGAAATCCAGGTTTCACTGTGGGAGTTTGTTTCTTCTCCTACCTTTTTTTCTCCCAGAAACTAAACTATGAAGAAGCTAACAAATAAAATCAGTATATTTGACTGGTGCATATACTTCGGACATCATGGCTAACAACTTTTGCTAAGTTCAGTTTCTAGTTTCAAAAAGATACCCAGCTTCCCTTTAAAAATGAAGTGTTACTATTTGTGATGGGCATACACGGCTTGCAGTTGTCTTTTTGTCATGCGGACATAATACCATCTCACATCATGTTTCCTTCATCTCTTTCTATTAATTTTTTATGAACTTCATCAGAAATGTAAGGCACAGAACTGTTTTCATACTGACAGTTTTTATGCTGATTAAACATTGGAGAAACCAAAATAAATAATTGCCTTGATGTACACACTGCCTGGAATGAACAGCTTGCTTTGAAATGTACCAGTCCAGCACACTGCATAGGCAACAGTCTTATATAATGCAACTGGTTTTTTTTCTGACCCTTGATTTCCTAATCTTATTTTTTCTGATCCTCTGACTTGATTTGTTGTCCTTTTTAGCCATTAGTCAGACAAGTAATTCAGACACACTACTTTATTGTGAAGGTGAAAATCAAAGTAGAATATTAAGTAACATTGATTTGAAGGCTCTGAACTCCCACGATATTCCATGTTTCAGCAAATGGGTAAAATTGTATGATTTGTTCTCTTTCTTGCTTTATGTTCTTATATACTGCAGATACAACTACATAATCAGAATGTGTGCACTCATGCGCACACACTGAGGTACCTATAAGTGCCCCATACAAATTAAGAGTTGCCTAATGCATACAGTCAATTTATGTCCCCATTTTTTTTAAATCCTTTTTAATGTCACAGGGGACGTACTCATTCACAGAAGCATTTAATCATCTTTTGAATTCTGTGGGCTCTTGGCATCAGTGATATGTTGGTTTCACATAGTAACTTTTTGGCTTATGTGAAAAAGGAAACAGGAGCGCCCAATTTCCTTCTTCTGTACAATTCATTATTTTGCATACCTCCTCTGTCCCCTTATTTGTCTTCTTTCTAAACGGAACAGTCCCAACCCAAGTTAGCTCAGCAAGTTCTGTTTGGCATGCTGTTTGGTTGACACACAAGAGTTCTAGCAGTTTATATCTCTCATATACTAGTGTATAGTTGTGTTGTTCTTGGATTTTAATGATAATTTCTACCAACTTCTCTGCCACTGAAGCAAGGTATATTGATCTGAAATTCCCATGGCAGCCCCCTAACACCTTCGCTACTTATTAAAGGGAGGATTTCCTGTTAAGTGCAAATAACAGACTCGACATAGGAGGAGGGGAAAACTTGGTGATACTGCATTTCACTCTAAGCATAATAATCAAATTATTGCTAATACAGAATGTGAATTATTTATACTCCATAATTGTAAACTGATGGCTGTCACTGGGGTGGAACTGCAATATAAAACCTTCCTTTTGTTCTAGAGCTAGTCAACAATACTGGAATTGTCTACACAACGAGTCCTGTAGCACTGTAAAGACTTAACATATTGATTTGGACATAAGCTTTTTTGTGGCCTGGAGCATTGTAACACAACTACCCTTCTGAAACAGGCAATGGTCTGTATTACTAAGTATTAATTCATTGGCAACTTTTAAAATGGTTTATTCCTGAGGCTCCAATGGCTTGGCAGTCAGAAGGGAGGCTTGAAGGCAAAGAAAAAGCTGGTGTTTTGCTGACATTGTACTGCAAGTCAACTGTCTGCTGGGGCTCTCTGTTATTATAAATACTGTGCACTGACTCATGGTCTAGTGGCTCAACAAGGTCAGCTTGAGAAAGCAGATAAAGGAGAAAGTAGTGTCTGCCTGCTGTTTGTGCTGCACTGGATAGATGGACTCTGTTCATTTTGCATGTGTGTTTTTTTAATTCAACGTTCCCTACTGTAGTCATTCATACAAAGGGTGCTTTTAAACGAGTAATGAGTGCTTTCCGTCTTGGCAGTTACTTATACTGAACTTTGTCTAGCGCTCTTTACGATTCACTCATACAAGACCTAAAATAGTCAAGACTAATAGAGGGGAGCAAAGCTCTGTCTGGCTCATGCTGTTTCGAGGAAAAGGGACTCTCAGGGGGAAAACACCCTGCAAAGACGTACAAATTATGCACTGTCTCTTCTGTCCATGAATAGTTTCTCTTGTGAGAGAACTAGGTTGCATTTCTGGACAAGCAGCCAAATCTGTGTAGCTAGGGCTTTTCTCCCCAGGCTCACTTACAAAACTTGTTTTCATAAGAACAGATGGACTTAAATAGGTCTGGGGGTTCTACAGAGTGAGTGGCCAGCCAATCTTTACCTTAGATCATTGGCTCTCAAGCTTTCCCATACTAGGACAGTCCTCCTCTAGAGCCAGGATGTAGCTGGTATCTATCTCCCATTTAGCAGGAGGGGAAACTTGTCAGGGTGTGGCCGATGCTTGCCGACAGGTTGCAGGGGTCAGAGCTGCAGAACCAGGGACATGACGTGTACACAGCTACTCAGGATGTGACCTGCATGCTGGCAGACTTGGCTGTGCAAAGCCAGGTGGGAGCTACCGCAGGAAAGCTATGAGAGGCACACTACGTGGCAGCTCCTTACTAGTCAAGAGGGTACCCCGGAATATCAGGCTGCCTCACCTACTGAGATGGTTAGTACTTCATGGTGCTGATTATTCTTGCATTGCACTTTGAATCAGAGTAAATTTCAGATATGGTCTATTTTGGACAGGGAAGCTATGACATAGTGAGGCCAAGTGTCTGGCTCATGATTGCATGGACACCTGATTCATGGCGTTCATGCTCCAGGAGGGCAGAGGAGGAGTGGGGACGGAGCACGAATCAGCAGAGTCATGGTGCTCTGAAAGCACTGG